AAGAACACTACATATAAAAATAAGAATAATGATTCTGAATTAGTTGCTACCAAGAAAATTAGAGTAGAAAAGAGTGGTGAAGTTCCTTCGGTCCTTGAAAACTAGAAAGATGAAATTATTAGAGAATGAGGAGAAGATTGTTTTTGGGAAAAAGTTCGTGCCAGATAGGTTGACGAACATCCTTCTGAGCTTATTGGATATGATTAGAATCGTCTATGCTCAGAAGCACCTTCTCATAAAAGAAGTGAGATTCCAAGACTATCTATTCTAAAGTTCAAGTTTGAACATGGTGAGTTTCCCTTTTCTGCTACTAAGTTAGGCTCCAATTCTTAATTTGTTCATGGTTGGAATGAGTGGGTCAATAAAGTGTTAAAGAATCTTACTTATGTTAAACTTCTCTTTTCTGTTGGGATACTTGATGCAACGTGTCATTTTTAAGCTCAATATTTGTAAAGAAAAAAGGATGGATATATGGCGTGCTATTCTTGCAAGGTGAAACACTTTTTGTCATACTATGATTATAGCATGGCGGGAGCTTCCGTGTATAGGAAAGCATAATTTTCACTCTGTTAAGCTTTCTAAAGAAGAGGTATGTATTCGAGACTTTTTCTTTGATCTACTTAAGAGTTTAAGTAAAACTTCGAAGGTTGCACGATTCTCCATTTGGATAGAGGTTTTTTACAAAAAGTTCAATGCTAAGGGAATTGAAATTAGTTCTCTTGAGTACCTAGACCATAAGCATGAGCTAGTAGTTTTAATAATTTTTTGGTTCGGGTGACACATGCCTAATGCATATCCTTCCTAGGGTGTCCAAATGATGGTATCTCTTCAACAATTGTTCCTTTAGCAATAAAAATTGTTAAGGGAATACGTTTCCTCTTACTTCAGTATATTTAGGATCTTTATATAAGAGGTTAAACTTGTATTAACTCAAAATTGTTGAGTCAACTGGGTGTTACAAAGTTTTGACTTATATGGATGCTTCATTCAGTCAAATGTGTTTGTGGGAAAGGTTTGGTACTTGCACTCCCATGCCTAATGCATATCTTTTTGCATCTTTTTCTGTGAATAACCCTTTAGCCAGAAACAACTATAGAGCTTGGGCATGGCATGATCGACTACCAAGGGGTAATGTTCTTGAAGTGATGGATATTACAAAAGAATTCAATCCCAGGCCTTATGCATAGCCTATAAATGGATTTGGTGATCCTGTAATTTATTATGACCTTCATCTTTTACAGTCTAAAAGAATGAGCTCACGAGGTATTAACTTTTGTATATGGGTTCATAGTTCCCAATTGCCTTCTATGATTGAGAGTTCTAGTTCTGGTGGAGATAGAGACTTTCAATCTATTGAAGTGTATTCTCCTTATAGAGTGGCTCATCAATTTGGATTTGACTAACCAGCTCTATATGACTTTTCTTCGTCTTTCAGCTTTTTTTCTAGTGTTTCGTCATTTCTTATGATAGGACTTCTACTTTGTTCAGATAAATTTAAGAGTTATACTATCCTAGCTTTTGATAAGGTTGGTATCCATAGTTTTGGATGGTTTACTTATAAGAGAGAGTGTCTTGGAGAATGGAGATATTTTATTGTGCCATTAACTAATCCCACAGTTCATCTCTACACTTCTCATGTAAGCAATAATGATGAATCCTTATGCTTAATTCCTCTTAAAAAGAAGAAATGTATAACTGAAGAAGAAGATACTATACCTCATGCTCCTACTCATCAAACAAAAGATAAAGATGCCTATCGAAAAGTAAATTCATATTTTTTTTTAATATTTTTTTATTTTCTCATTTTATTTATTTTTATTTTTTATTTCTTCATTTTTTTTATGGAGAATCAACTACAAGAATAGAACTTAATTCAGTTGAAGAGGAAGAAACTTCTTAAGTAGAGACTAAGGAAGAATCATATGACTCTGAATATAGTGATGAATCTGATGATGAATTAGTCGATGTTGATAAAGCTGATATTGAGATTGAACCAGCCCCTTTTGATGAACCAGGTATAAACATATCACTAATTGCTTTTGTTCCATTCTTTTTTTTTTAATTAAGATTGTTTTTACTCCCCACGCTATTCGAGATGAGGTTGTTCCTGACACTGAGGCTATTCCAACTGTGGAAGTTGTTGTTGAGGCTACTTCAAATGTTGAGGTTATTCATGATGTTGGAGTTGATATCGATGATGTTAAAGCTACTCCAATTAATCCTCATGCTTCTTCCTTCCCAGTGCTAGAATATAGAGATGCTAGTAATGCTTCTGGCACTCAAGTAACATATACTGAACAAAATGGTAAGAAAGTTGACTTTCATGGTTTTCAAGTTTCATTAGAGTATGTGGAATACTTGGAGCATGTTTTCAATGTAAAGAGAGAGTTTTGGAGTATGTCCTTTGTAAAGAACGTAGACGTTATTTGCTTAGTCATGGAAGTGTTGGATAGAGCTTTAGCCATTTCCCATGCTCCATTACTGAGTACTTCACTAGAGGAATTGCAATAGATGTTACAGGATTTCGATAATGCTTGTAGCTTTGGATTCAAGCTTGAATGCCTCAGTGATTGTAGATCTAAAGCCAAGATTTTTCTTAAAAAGTATTTCTTAGAAAATGAGTTAGAAGACATTGCAGCAAAAATAGCTTCACTTGCAAAAACGTGAAGCTGAAGTACGAGAACAATTAGATGTATTTGCCAATAATAACTTTTCTTTATGGAGTATGTAATTGGCTAGTCTTTTGCTTTTTTTTTGCTATATTTTTTTTGAAAACTCATTTGAGCTAGTACTTCACTATTAATATATCATATTTCTTTTTCTTTTGTAATAATAATACTGTTATACGCTTGTTGCATACTTCTTCACATTTCATATTATTGTATGCGGCCAAAGGATAACATTCAACTTTTCATCAAGGAGATTA